GAGTGAGCCGAGCTCATCTGGAGCTTCTGTTGTCCTAGCCTCGTGTTGCGGTAGCAGTGCGAGCATCCCAAGGATAGGCGATGACTCCACGCACTGCCTTGCCATGGAAAAGGATAAATATCAGCGGCGGGGGAAACGGTCTGCATCCTGAGCCTCACTCACCCTTAACCACCATGGCACTCATGAACCGCGAAACCGTATCTCGCTTCACTGCAATCAAACAGGTCGAGGCGACCATCGATCGCATCTTAACTGAGTATCCTCGCGACGTCACTTCGACGTTATCCCCTTCGGAGGTCCATTTCTTCGGGCAGTCCGTTGACTTGCGCCGCCTGCTGGTTATGAAAGAGCTGTATCGCCTCAGCGAGGACGTCGATCGCGTCTACACCGAGCACAACGAACAGAATCGTGCCGCCCGCAATGACAACCCCTCGTCACTACATCTTGAAGCCTACGAGAGGTCCTTCAAAGAGATCAACGAAATGGCTGGCCGCCCGTTTGGCCGTGGCCAGGTCCGTCGCTTCCTCGACTTGGGCTTCGCCCCGGGTGGTGTTACGACCTGGCTATTGCGCAGCAATGGAAGCGCGCTTGGAACGGGGATCAGTTTGTCCCTGGAAGCCTCAGGCATCCAGTCACAAGTTGACCTCCAGTTCCTTGCGCGGTTCCAACAGCGCTACGAGGACATACGCGACATCGCAGACGGACGAGCGACCATTGGTACGTACATGTCACAATCATCGGCGAAGTATAACGGCTCACTTCATCTTGCTGTAGACGACGGCGCCTTCGACCTCGTGATCGCGAATGCCGCCGTCGTGCTTCCCGAAGACAATGTGTCGTGGAACCATCGGGTCCACTTGGTATACGCACAGTTGCTGGTCGCCTTCCAGAACATCGCTCCCGGTGGCTCCCTGACCATCAGCCTCCAGACCCGGCCCTTCGACTGGGTTGTTGACGTTCTCACAACCCTCCGGCAGTCATTTGCAACCATCATTGCAGTCAAGCCTAAGCTACATGCAAAGAGATCAGTTACTCACGTTGTATGCCAAGGCTACATGGCCAGTAGCGACGCGGAGTGTTCCTATGTCGAGCGCATTCGCGCAGGGATCGGATACTTGAAACAAGCCAGTAAGGGGTGGTCTCTCAATGCATATGAATTGCACACTCACATACATTCTGTGATAGGTGGGGCTGTCGATGCGCCACTCGGCGGGACGGCAAATTTGCCCCGAATCTCTGCTCCTCCGAATCAAGTCAACCTGGAAGCTCAGGTTCAGTTCGTCGCGGAGCTCCTCACGCCCGTATGGAAGCGCCAATACGCTGCTATCCACGAGCACTACCAGGAGGTGCTGCGGGATACCCATGAACGTGCGTATGACTCTCACGTCCCACAAAGTAACACAGAAGAAAGGCATTGACTGTCTCCACTTTGACCAGGTGGTCCTACCGTTCCAGCGAGTAATGCAGATGCAGTTGGGTCTTGGCGGCGCCAGCAGACGGCTGTCGTGCAGCCCGGCGGCTCCGGTTCCTCCAACTGGCGGAACCGCGCTACCGAGCAGCACGGCAGTGGCCAGAGGGGCCGTGAACATAGGACTACCGGGTCCGGTGACCGCTCCGGTCGTAGTGGAGGCATGACCACTGACCTTTCCTGGAGGAGGGGCCAGCATTAAGTGCTGAGGTGCTTACTGTATCTATCCCCCAGCGGCGAACCTGACACTGACTCCGTGAGCTTTCAATTACAGCCAGTGAAATCCCGCTCACCTATGCTGTAGACATACGCTCGTGTTTTCTTGTTCCGACATCCACGCCTCGTTGTACGGTCCTCTTGCGATTCTTGCATGCTATGCGTTCTTTCAGATTCCTTTGCTACTTCGTCATGTTATGCCTGCTTCGAACTTCCCTTGATATATATAGCTATCTCCGAGGCGTGTACGATATGTTCGATAATCGCTATCATCCGCTGGATTAGTGTTCGTTCAAGTCAAGTCGATACATTTCACCACTTACCAGTGTGCCAGCAAATCCGCGTGCTATAAGAAGCATCCTGTGCCAGGAGGGCATACGTAGGATCTGCATAGGATATATACTGCATACGATGCTTTTAGTAGTGGCCGTCGGGAGTAAGGAGTGTGCGGTGCCGCCCAAGTCTGCCCAAGTGCGGCTCTGCACCGCTCAGCGCGCGTCGGTTACTCCCGCGACAACCGTGTTGACCACGACCGTGACCATGGCTGTGAAACCCGCTATCTCCCTCTTTCTCTGCCAGCTATGTCCTCGTCGTTTCGCTCGAAAAGTGATTGAAGTCTGGGTCCTAGCTAGAAGAGGCCTGTAACATGAGTAGCGGCGACTTCGAGGTCCGGTGGCCAAACTTCCAGCTCTCCCGCCGCGTCTCCAAACTGTTTCGCTCGTTCACGGGTAGCGGCAATGCTCCAACTGCGGACTACAGCTATTATGAGCTGAGCAACCTTGACGAAGCGTCCGAGGTCCCTACAGATACGGAGCGGGAGACATTGAGGAGGGTCGCTGATGCTGTCCCATGGAACGCGTTCCGTGAGTACTGCCCTGTTCGATATCGTTCATTGATTGAAAAATACTAACGGGGATGTCACCCGGTCAAGTCATTGCTTTCGTTGAACTCGGAGAACGGTTCTCCTACTACGGAACTACTGTTGTCTTTGTGAGTTTCTTCAGAACCTCGTGAAAGTGGAAACATGCCACGATACGTGTGTGCATGAACTGCATCGTCTCCTCAACCTGGAGGTTGCGGAGACTCCAATCCTTCCATTGAGTGAACTTTGACTTAGGGGAGCAATGCATTCCGAAGGTGTACTTAACGCGTGAGCCTTCTTCAATGCTGCCTCTTGCACGGGTTATGCGTTCAGAAGACCTGGCAGGTCGTATGCTCATTGTGCGAAGCCCATCGCGCACAAGCTCAATGTTGAACGACAGCGTTGCGCGGACAAGAGTGTCTGCTACGTTGCATTTATTGTCTGACCCAGATGCAATGAATTAACTGCGAACTGACCAAAAAACCTTAGACCAACTTCATTCAGCAGCCCCTCCCTCCCGGATCCCGTACAGGTGCCGGTTATGCCAGTGGTCAATCAGGAGCTCTCGGTCTCGGCCAGCGTGCCTCTACGGCGATCGGCATGCTCAATTCATTCTGGTGAGTATACATTCACAGCTCCTGCACTTCGTGGATCTCACCGTTCCACCAGGGTCTACTTCATGCCTCTACTTGGCGCATACATAGCGGATACACGCTGGGGCAGATTCAAGACGATCTGTGTCGCCGTAGGCATCGCTCTCGTTGGCCATGCTATCCTTGTAGTCGCGGCACTCCCGGGAGTGATCGAACACCCGAGACTAGCTCTGACATACTTCATCGTCGCCCTCGTGGTCATGGGTGTCGGAACAGGTGGCTTCAAGTCAAACATCTCGCCGTTGGTAGCGGAACAGTACAAACAGACGAAGCTAACCATCACCACCACTGCGAGCGGCGAGCGAGTGATCTTAGACCCTGCAATGACGACGGCTAGAATATACATGGTGGATTCTCATAGAACTTGGTTGCTAGCCTCGTCGCTAACCCGCCATACAGTACTTCTATCTATTTATCAATATTGGAGCTCTATTCGGACAAATTGTTATGACCTACTCGGAAAAGGTGAGAGGCGACGAATATTACGAGCTGTACTCAACTAGCCGGTTTCTTTAGTACGTTGGCTTCTGGCTCGCCTTCGTCCTACCCACGCTCGTTTTCCTCCTTTGTCCCCTCGTTCTCTTCATCGGCAGGAATAGCTACGTACGGTCACCTCCATCTGGGTCGATCCTCGGCACTGTCTTTCACATGTTCCGCTTCTGCATGCGCGGCAAGTGGTCTCTCAACCCTCTTGCGACCTATCGGCATATGTCTGTGCACGACTTCTGGGACCGTGCAAGGCCGGGGAGTTGCCCTCCTGGAGCGAAGCGACCGGAATGGATGAACTATGAGGATGGGTGGGTAGATGAGGTTATCAGGGGCGTGCAGGCGTGCAAGGTCTTCCTGTGGTACCCGGTATTCTGTGCGACTATCTCTCTCTTGTCTCCCTGGCGGTCACGCTGAAAGCCTTCCTTCGTCCAGACTTGTCGCTGAACCAACTAAACAACAACCTCATATCCCAGGCCGCGACGATGGAGACCCACGGAGTGCCCAACGACATCCTCTCGAACCTCGACCCGCTCTCGCTGATCATCCTCATCCCCATCTTCGACGTCGCCGTCTACCCCTTCCTCCGCCGGCGGCGCGTGCGTCTCACGCCGCTCCGCAAGATCACCGCGGGCTTCTTCGTCGCGTCGCTGGGCATGGCCTACACCGCGCTCGTGCAGCACCGCATCTACACGACGAACCCCTGCGGGTACTTCGTCGCGACGTGCGTGGACGAGGCCGGCGCGCGGGTGACGAGCAGCGTGAACGTGTGGGTGCAGACGGGGAGCTACGTGCTCATCAGCGTAAGCGAGGTGCTCGCGAGCGTGACCGGCCTCGAGTACGCGTACACGAAGGCGCCGAAGGACATGCGGAGCCTGGTGATGGCGGTGTTCCTGTTCATGAGCGCCGTCGCGAGTGCGGTGGGCGAGGCCTTCGTCGGTGCGTGGGTCGTCTCTTCAGGATTCCGCTACGCGAAGGCTGACTACCGAGGGTTGGCAGCGCTCTCGGCGGACCCGCTCCTGGAGTGGAACTACATAATACTGAGCGCGCTTTCGGCTCTGGCTGGGATACTGTTCTGGCGACAGTTCCGGGACCTTGATGCTCGTGAAGACGAGCTGAACAGTCTCGGGGAGGACGTAACGCCTCCTGCTCTTGTCGCTGAGGATTGACGACTGTACATTCAGCTTCTAGATACATTTCTTGGTGCAACGACTACAAAAGATCCCTGGAATATGGTCTCTGTGTAATGGTCAGAACGGTTTGCTGCAGCGCGCGCTCGCTGGAAATGGATGTCACTAAGCGCTTAACTTTGTGGCCTTCGATAGCTCAGCTGGAAGAGCGTGAGACTGTAATCGGATACCGCTATCTCAAGGTCGCTGGTTCGACCCCGTCTCGAAGGATGGCTTCTCTTTTGCCTTTTGTCCTCTTATCCTCGAGCGACTATGTCAGTGAGTGAACAGTGAGCCTATCTGTGTAATCCACGGGTTGACGTTTCTCTGATCAGACAGAAACGACGGTGCTGTGTCGCGTGAATGTTCTCTCTCACTTGCCATGAGTTGAGATGCAACCCTACTAGCCCAATGAAGCCGCCGTCGAGGAATCCCTCTGCTGCCGCGGCTGAATGTGTCACTCTTCATTCGTCCGGAGGGTTTCTGAAAGTATGTTGTTTGACACGACAGTTAGGGCCGACATTCGTGCACTCATATCACTTCGCCTAGCATATGCAAATACGCAGTACGCAGCGTGTACTGCATTCGATACTCCCATCTGTGCCATGCGATCAACTAGCACACCACTAGTACAGTGGCCATGCCAGTCACGGTGGTGTCTGAGGCTTCGCAACCTCGTGCTTACGATGTCTGGGAGCCCAATCTGTCAACACGCGTCGCAGAAAGCACGCTCCGGACACGAATGCCGCAGTGCGTCGTTCAATTCCTTCGTTGCTTGGGATCGAACCTCTAACCTTCATATACCGTAGACTGATTTCGTGCGTGACGGACGCCCTGCCGCATCCGTCCGAGTCCTGCCAGGACCTGAACCGCATCGACCTCGGATACAAGCTCCGCGCAGCGAGGGATCTTCCGAGTCAACGACGCGGCTCTTCGACTTCACCTTCGATGCTAGTCTCGTTCCAGCTAGTTGCAGAACATTAGGCGCAGACGAACGCGCGCGACATATGATGACAAATAAGCGCCGTGCCTTGGCCGCGCCACAGTTGACGTTGGTTCACCCACTTCTGCACCATCATGTTTTTACGGCTTCACAGTCGTCTGCACTAGCACCTGTACCGAGCAATAGCGACGCGGTCACGTTCCTCGGACACCCTATTAATGTATATTCCATTGAGAGTAGTAACAATGCAATAATGCCTCCCCTACACCACTGCTTGCAGTCAGCTACAATGGACGAGTCCGACAGACGTCGTAGACCTGGGTGTAGAAGGCAGATACACGTTCAATTGTCTGCGGGCACTGGCCGGTACTCCTGCAAGGCGTCCACGGGATCGTGTTCAGCGAGTCGCAAGACATGTCTCTCATGACGGTTGCTGCAGGACAATCGATGCAACGCAAAAACATGGTGGTGCGAGGTGTGGTGAGGTGGGTAAACCGACGTCTTCGTGTGGATAGCGCCTATTTGTCATCATATGTCGCGCGCGTTCGTCTGCGCCTAATGTTCTGCAACTAGCTGTCAAAGCTGGTGATTATGCAGCGAAACTGGCAAAGATATCCTCAAATTACCGTCGGCATTGTGTTTTCGGGCCAGATATCGTGATCCCACGGTAAACCGCACGACTCGCTGCAACTGCGTTGTCCGCGCGCGGCCTGGCGATCTCCCCAGAACCTTCGCGTTGTGATCTTCTGAACAGCTACAGTATTATGACGATCCTCATCATGAGCCGCATTATGCCCTGCATGCTAAGTATTGGCTGCTCGAGATGATGATCGATGGAACATTAGCTCCCGGATGTTAGTGAGGCGTGGGCATTGGGAACAGTCCGTGTACTGACATCGATGGGAAGAATTACAGGGTAGTGCGATGAGAAGGGGATGTGGATGCAGGGTGCTGTGTCGACGTGGGGATATGGCCCAGTGGCAGTGGATCGTCTGCAGCGCACCACCGCATGTGAGGATGATCTGCGAATGAAGATACGGTTTTGGGGCTAGACAGATGTCAACCTCGTACCTGTATTTGTACAATATATTTTTACCGTCACTGTGTGCATAACTACTCGCCGAAGTCTTGCATAACACAGGAGCCCAACTAGCGCTTGTGACACCACGACGCGTCTGTGGCTGCTGCCACAGCAGCAGAGAGACGAGCGAAGTACTGGCACTCGTTTGACGGGTGATTAATGTGCGTACCCGCAACGTGTCTTGTGTGCGCACTGCAGAGCCAGCGGCGATGGAATTGTGTGTTGATTCCCTCGGAACTCGTGTCGTGCGGATGCGCGCAGTGACCGCGCGACCTGGGCCTGCGCGTGACCGCGTCCGTGGGACGCCCGCCGCGAGGTCGTCCTCAGCCGTGAGTCTCCTTCTGTCAATCACCCATGCCAATGCCATGTGTGGCCCTCTGCGGCTTCGCTCGACATCACGACTCTCGCGTGCCTAGTCTTCCGCATATCTACCCCCTCTCCCTCACTCGCAATGCGCTTCAAGTCCCTGTTCCGCACGCGTTTCTTCTGCCTGCCCATACAACTACCGTGGATGTCTTCCCCGACCGATATCAAACCGCTACATCTTCTACTGGAGGTACCCGCTCCCCTGGGGAACCCCGACAAGAAGAAGATTGCCATCAACACTCTGGAGACGCTCTATCTCCATGCCGATTCGATCGTGCATGAATATGTCGTCTCCCAAATAATGCTGTGGAAGATCAATAAACCCCCCAACCATGAATTCGTCGTCGCGCGCATAAGCTACAAAGGCACCGTCGTCGGCGCTCTGCGCATGGAGCGAACAGTCGAGCCCACTGACGAAGCATCCGCCAACTCGTCCAGTGCATCCATCACCAGTAGCTCGTCTGCCCTTCATGCATATGACCCCATCACCATATACGCCTCGGAGGACGTCAGTCGCGCGACGAAGGAGTCCCAGCTGATCGCGCAACAAGTTTTCGAAGGGAACACGGTCACCATTGCCTCCGTCATCGCCGCCTCCTCCGTCCTTACCCGAGAGTACCCAGAGTACCAGCTGGGCTCGAAGCAATGCTATTGGTTCGCAGGATTGGTCTTTCGCCTCATAGCCGGAGACGACGTTATGCCTGCGAACTCAAACAGCCACAGCCGCATGCGAGCGGGCGAGTTCGCCAATTTCCTCAATATCATGCAAGGGCCGGGGTTGACCAAGGAAGCACGAGCGATGCGATCCATGTACGAGGCCAAGCTGCGGGAGGTCGAAGAAGCCGTCGCTGCGAAACTGGCGAAGGAGAGGGCGGGTACCGAGATGCAGACATTGCTGACTGAAACCCAGAGGCAGGTTCAGGAGGCGGAGAGGCACGCGCAGGAGGCAGAGAGGCATGCGCAGGAGGCAGAGAGGCAGAAAGCTGCGCTCGTGCAGGCATACGAGCTTGAGATACGCCAGCTCAAAGAGGCCCTCGCGGTGAGTGCTCTGCATGACTGTGTCCGTTCGTCTTCAGCTGACTTCTCATCAGTCTAGGCAACTGGGCACTGCACCGAGCGCTGCGTAGACGACACGTTCAACCAGCCTGGTATCACTTCCACGCTCGGTCGATCGCAATCTCAGGCCGGGTCGTCGTTCATGTTCATCCTAATCAGTCTCTTGCTTTCATTGCTGTCGAGAATGCTTTCGGTATGTTGTGTTCTCCGAGTCGTCGCTGGCATCCTTCTCGCCCCGTCCTGCTTGGTTAAGTCTCCCTATTCATCGCTATGCCTCCTTGCTGTCATCATTACGCCCACGCACTGACTCATGTTGTATCTACCGTCTGCCACTGTATTACCATTCTCGCTATGAATATCCGCAGTGTTCCTTCCTCCGGATCCGTTGGGGAAGTGTCAGTCGATCGAAGCAGCCCTCCGGCCACACATCGTCCGTTCTGACATGGCAGCACGAGCTTGAAGCTTGAAGCTTGAAGCCTCGTCCGCGTCATTGTTGTAGTATTGCTGACATCTTGAGACAACCTTGAAGCTTTGAAGCCGCTGACTTCTCATGTCATGCGAGCAGGGAAGGGAATGTCACCCCATTGATATTTAATCTGGGATGTTGTTAGGATAGGACGACAATGAATGGTCGTCTGCTATTGCGGGTATGCAAGACATGCGAAGCAATAAGTGCACATATGTAGGAACACCGAATACCGTCCGTCCGCGAAGTTGCATGCTACATCAGTACTACGTCGACGAATGAGAACAAGCGGAACGCGAGACAATGATGACAAACTATACCACCCAATATAAGTACAGCCGCAGGGGGAACCTCGTCGTATGGAGGGTGGAGCAATGCAGGGTCGGACGAAATGGCGGAACATGAGGAAGCATACAGGGAATACATATATACATACCGTCGTCATCGTCATGGAGGTCGTGGAGGTCTGCGCTCTCTAGGCGGAGTCCAATAATACGCGAGCCTCCGCGCGTCTAGGCAGCATAGATAGTACAAGGCCCACCACACTTCATCTACTCGCGTGTGGACCCCTAGTGCGCGCCGCTTCTTCCAGGATGGTCGCATATCTCGGGATCCATCTTGCCCAGCACCTCTCCCGACGCGACGCTGAAGCCAGACCGGACACTCGCCGTGGAACTCATCCTCGGCCGGACATACGTCGCGGGCAGCCCAGTGTTCGCAGGGGGGATCCTAGCACCATCCAAGGGAAGACCTCCCTGACGCTCTTCAGTGGGGGAGCCACCCGTACCGCGTGCATCATTTGAGCGCCCTCCCGGACTTGGGATGCCGCCCCTGGCGCGCCGCCGACTGTCGAGGCCCCGCAGGCTGGACACGAACGCGCCTTTCATCTCGCGCAGCCGCTCGTCCACCGCGGCCTCCGTCGCCAACATCGGCTCGGGCATCGACAGCGTGCGGGCGCGGGAGAGCAAGCCAGACGGCCTCTCCGGCTCTGCTGTAGCCTGGGGTTCCACCGGAGACTCGGCCGGCGAGGTTTCGCTCTGCTCGCGCAGTCGCTGCAGCGGTTTCCGTGCGTCGATGTCCTGCACGAACGCCGAGATATCGTCATCATCCGTGTTCGCGCTCAGGTAAGAGGCGCCCTGGTCGGTAAACGTCAGCATGAATCACATCACGACAGCTCAGCCATATAAGCAAGCCGAGCTAACACTCACAGCCACACGTTCCCCTTCCCTTGGACCACTCCCTGCGCTGCCCTCGCTGCCCACACCTCCTGTTGAGGCATACCGGTGCCCGAAGCTGCTGGAGTATCGCTTCCTGGCACC